ACAACCAATCAAGCTGGAGCTACTTATTACATCATTATGATGTTTACTGCATATGAAAATCATGTTTGCTTTGGGATGAAGGCTTTTTTTTCCCCCACCAGGTTTTTATCTGCATTTCCTCCTAACTCCACTAGATGTCCACACGGACTGCACACATAGTTCACTCAAACCTTGACACCCCATCAGGAGCTATGATACTTGGCCAGTCGTTACTGAATTCAGTGCACAGAAATGATGGGACAGATTCTGTTTTTGAGGTTGTGGGTTTTTTGGTTTGGTTTCGTTTTGGTTTTGCCAGGCCTTAATTTAACTGTATATTGCACACTTCTGTGCTACCAAAAAAGATGTTGAAAACATGCCTTGAAGTCTCTAAGAATTCAAAAAATAAGAAAATGAAAGTATGTCCATGCAGATTGCAGAGTTATTCAGTGGCCCACTCTGAGTTTAGCTCACATTCATGTATTTGTTGATAGCTCAGCTGCAGAACAGCATTGCTCCTTTGCAAAGAACTTGTAATCACAAAGACACAATTGCAGTCAATGGGCTCTGTTCCTGAGGTACCTCTGCCTAATGCTTCATGTGGGCACCAGGTTTAGATGAAGTAGGAAATCCCTCAGCTTCATTCTCCCTTCCATGGGGACTCTGCTGTGATTGGAGATCCCACCTGTTTCCAAAAAGCTTTACACACGGAGGTGCCAGTATCTTAAAGGTACTTCCAGCCCTATTCTACAGGCATTTAAAGAAGCCAGCAAACAGAATGCTTTTTCAAGTCAAGACAAACTGAATCCACTTAGTTCTAGCAAACAGCTGGTACAATTTAAAATCTAAACCCTTGCCTCCAAATAACCTATACTGTGGAGCTAAGAATTCAGACACAGGTGTAAATTTAACAGTGCTACTGGTCACTGACTATGCATACAAAGGTATATTTGGATCAGTTGCTGGAAAAGTTACAGTTACACAGTACTGTGATTTTGCTGTTTAAGCTCGGGTACTAGGAACACTGGCAATGCTTGGAGGACAAACAGGGTGGAGTGTTAAAGGTTTCCTACGACTTGCCAGGGTTTTGCATCACACACATATAAACTCCCTTCTATTGCACACTGTCATCAACAAGTATTGCAACTAGTACTGGGTACTCTCAGTTGCATGACAAGTCACAGACCACCTGGAAGCAACTTTCACATCAATAACGTGCTCTTTGTCTGACAGAGGCACTTCTTAGCTAGCTTGAAGACAAGTGCTTTGCCTTCAATGACATCTTTTACTGTTACCTTGGTTTGTTTGGTGTTTTTTAAACTCTTGTTGGCTTGTTTTGAATTAGATGGTATTCACCTTCAAGATTAATTCAGCTTCAGAGTAATCTGTTTAGTTAGCAAGCTTGGCAGCTTTAGAACAGGGGCTATACCTCAGCATACGGCCTTCACTTCATTACAACAGATCCACAATCTCTGCTGAAGCCTCTGATCACTGGTAAGACAGAAAGCAATTACTGCAGTCTGTATGCTAAAACCAACCCAAATACAAATAGAAGTTCCAAAGACTTTTATTGTAGCCCTTGCGTGGCTGAGCTGCCCTCTAGAGGGATGGACTATGCATCATCCCAAAGACAACACAGGATGGAGAGAATCATGAACCCTGGAGAATGTGTTCATTTGACAAGATCCTTCACATACTTCCAGCCTTCCACAGTGTATTCACAGGCCCTGGTGGGAGCTATAGACAAGGCAGACATCACTGTCTGCACTCCTGCAAGGAAAGGAGAGAAGAATTATCCCAAGAGCATCATTCAAGCCAAATTTCCCAATGTTATTCTAGCATTGTAGTTCTCTTTAAACACTGAGAGAAAAATCTCAGAAGCTTTCAAACACACTGGGGCCTGAATGATCCTTGGTTCAAGTGCAAGTTTATTGTCTCAGTAGCACTTGTGACACATAGAAATTTCAACTTCAGGACAAGTATAAGGGATAGACAATTACAATATTGAAACAAAGAACTAAGTTCCGTTTTATTTCTGGCCTTGCCACAGACTCCACAGTTCATGTTGGACATGTCACACTATTTGTGGACCGTGTTTCCCCACAATTACATGAATACTTTTTGCTGCACCATAAAAACTATAAATTAATTTACTAGATATTTATAACATGCTTTGGCCTTCAAAACAGATCTCTGAAATTATAATAATAATGGGAATATTCATCCCTTCTGAAAAGTCAGAGGCTGAGTTCAGACTTACTAGCATCTGAACATTTATAAACTCTTCAATCTTTAACAAAAGGCTCACCTTTCTTAAGAGTAAGTCATCACTGATTTTTATGCTCTAGGTTCCCTGATCACTACCACTGCTGATGAACTCACTGGGACACAAACTCTATCTATTTATTGTGGGGGCCACAGGTCGTCTCACTGAGACATTCAATCTTAGATTCCAGGATAACGTAGGCATGTCTGTCTTGGGGCATAGGTGGGCAGCAAGCTTTGGAGGTAAAAGAAACACCAGCGTCTCTGGTTAGAAAAGGCAGACAGATTTATGGGCACATATCCTCCTCCTTATTTCACACTTAGAACATGAAGAAATTAAGTCCAAAGTCACTCAATGTGCTAGTGGTAAAACCTGGAGCAGAATATGCTTCCTTAGTCCCAGTGCCAATATTCCTTCCACCAGACTGTAACATCTATCACCTCCTTCTCCATCGTTCAATTTAGGAGGACAGTATTGAAACAAGACTGGTATAAGCTACATCACTCTTGGCCCTTGCTCCTTTCACAGTTTGGTGAGAAGTTATTTTACCTTTATTCCAGGAATCAGAGGGGGAAAAGTCAAATTTTGGAGTGGGTGGGAGCTAAAAAGAGAAAGGGAGACAAAATATCAGCACTTGAGTGTTTTCACTTATAATGGTATTCACATCACCTTGAAGAAGTCTCTTCACCTCAGATCTCAAAGATACTTGAGTGTCTACTCCGTAAGACTCAAAAAGGATCAGACATGAGGTTTAAAGTCTGGACTTTGCTCTTTTCTCCAGCATAACATAGGGGCAGAAGGTAATACTTATCATTTGGGTGTTCCTGAAAAATCATCTTCATGGCTGTCTCCTTAGTTATCTATTACTTTAGAATAGCCTCTAATACGAAAAATGCTTTTTGAACTTTCAGAAAAGGTTTCTCCTGAAGATTTTAAAAACTAAGAATTACTCAAAGAGAAGAGCCTCTTCAGGCAATTTAAATTCAACTTGACGAACTGTTAGCAGCTCGAGAAATCACGAAGGAAATATTTTAATTTTTTTAAAGCATGTAGGATCCTTCAAATGAAGCTAAAGAACATCACTACAGTAGAATATCTCCCAGAACATGCTTGAAATCCCCTCCTTGACCCTGCATAGACTAGTTACCCCTTATCTTTTGAAATATCATCTATGAACAGTGTCTCTCCCCTAAATTTAAAGTTTTATCCTCCTTCCATTTCAACCCTCTTCAAAATAGTCTGTGTGAAATCCAGTTTCAACAGCAAAACTGCCAGCCTCACGAGAACCTGAACATCACCCCAATGTTTTCTGCTCCTCATTCAGAGAATGCATTTGTTTTGCTGACTCTGTTCATCTGCACAGTCCTTACCTCCCAGCCTATGTAACTTGTCCACTCTTGGATAGCTGGAGGCAGTGCTGCTTGAGCTTTTTTGAGGGCTTCAGCACCTTGTGTACCACTGCCCAGCAGCCCCTGATCATATGCCACATACACAGCAGCTCCAGCCAGGCTTCCTTTGATGACAAACCTGAAAGAATCAAAAGTAGCAGTCATTCAGTTCACATTATGACTACCAATGCACCTCTCTCAGTAGGTTGTGACCATCAAAGGAGGGTATCGATAAAGCTGACGGTCACAAACACTCTACTGTGCAGCAGAAAAATATCTAGCTACCTTCCTTTTCTCCTTAGGTCAACTATTCCCAGTTAGCCCCTTGAAACCATACCCATTCACATTTTATCAGTGACAGTTCTCAAGGAAAAAATGAGAAAGTCTCAATCATCTCAGAGTATGTTTTATTTTACGTATTCACGCTCGCCACAACAAAACCACCAGACTCCTGCCAGGCATTTGGAGATACACAAAGAAGATGCCGGATGGAGGCCAAGCCTGGCACAGGGGCAGACGAGGTCGAGGGCGCAGCGCTGCAATGAAGCAGGCCCGGAAAGAGTCGGGGGACTCCCTCCGCGCGGGGGCACGGTGATCCGCGGAGGCAGAGGAGGGGCGGGCCGGGCGGTACACGCGTGGGGGACCGAGTTCTCCGGGCAGGGAGCGCGGGCGCGGGGACTCACTTGATGGCAGGGAAGAGCCTGGCGGCCATGACTGCAGCAGGGGCCGCGCGCCGCGGGGACCTTCGGGAGACGGTCACGTGGTCAGGGGAGCGCGGCAGCTCCAGCCGCCCCCGCCTCCTGCCTCGCGCGCAGAGGCGAACGCGGCCGCCTCGGCGGTTGCCATGGCAGCCGGGCCGGCGCCAGGGAGGTCACGCGCCCCTGCCTCCCCTCCCGCCGCCGTGCGCTGGGGCCAGCTGCGCGCGCAAGGAGGCCGGGCCGGGCCGAGCACAAGGCTCCGCCTCGCGCCTCGCCGTGGTGTCCGCCCCGGGCGCGAGCCGGTCGCGAGTCCTCCGGTCGCGTCCCTGTCACCAGTCGCTCGTGCGCTATCGTCACATGCCGGCAGACGGTACCTTGCCGCTCTTCGCGTCTCGACGGGAGCTCTGCCGGGGCTTCAGCCCCATCGCTTGTGACAAGGCTCCCGCTCTGCTGCTGCGTTTCTGTGTCGTGCAGTAAGTGCCGGTAACTCTGAGGTACGACTTTTTGTGGTTAATATTATCAGCTACGAGCATAATAATCCTTAATGGATTAAGCTTTATGTAAGATTAGACGTGAAGGGTTTTTTCATGGTAAAGCACTTTCTAGCCTTCTGAGGGAGTGGCTGGTTGGTTCAGCCCTCCTGCTGGCTTTTGTGAATTCCTTGGTTACTGGTTAGAGGATGGCCCCTTTGTTTGCCTGCTTTTTCTCCTATCCACAGGGTGACTGGATTACCTGGGTGTTGAACCACATTGGCATGACCCATTTCCAGATGTGGGCTAGAGATGTGGAATACATCCGCTGGCTCGTGCAGGTAAGGTTTCCTAGCAGGAAGAGCTCACCTGCAATTGGGTGAGTTTGGCTTCTCCTGGGACAGCTTCAGGAAGCTCAAAGGCAAATTCAAGTCAGTGGCAATGGTTGAGAACAAACCTTTTATTTCATTTGTGTTTCACGTCAGATGGTGTGGAGGCTTTGTTTCTAGACATGTGTTTTGCTCCGTTGTAGTATAAGTGTGCAAATGAATGTCTGGGAAGACCTTCACTTCTCTCTTTCCTCCTGTCCTTATCTCCCATTAGCCCAGGACTGTTAGGGATTGATGGGTAGTTACAGGCAGCTGTGCAATGTATGTCTAGTTTAGGAAGGCTAGTAGATGAGGCACAAGCACTACCTACTACTCTATAGCAAGTGCACATGTCATTGCAGAACACAGTAAGGTGGTTTGAAATGGTGTTTCTCATTTGAGTTTCTGCTCACAAATTCAGTTTTCCTATACAGTCACCTTGATACCAGGTTTTGGGACCATGGAGATGAACAGCTGTTTTCTTGATTCAGTCTTGGATCAAGTGGGTCATATTAATTCTATTTCATATTGGAAGCAGTGGAGGGTAGGAAACTTGGCATTACAGGTAAGAAATTTCTCACAAGTTAGAGAGCAGTCAGGCTCAGAAGAGATGCTGAACATTATGGTTTGCATCACCATACACAAGTTTAGACTACAGCTCATCCCTGCCTTGTGATCTATCTAACATGCCGTGGTGTCAGGGAAATGTTATGGCCAGATGCACTAGCATGTGACCCAATCCATGTGTTTGCATGTGATGGGGGATGGGAAAGCTACAGGTAGACCATCACACTGGGATTTTTAGCCCAGCATGTGACCTGGTTACTGTGTAAGTTAAAAGACATTTCCTCCCCTTATCCACATATGTGATGGCTCTTGTGCTGACATGTGCTCACACAAAGCGGTATAATTTTCTAAGTGCCTCTGTGTGACTAGAAATAGAGGGCAACTCACCTGAACAGAACATAGGTTAATGCAGGATGGCAAAGCCTGTGTCTTTGCCCGAATTTCTTCTCCATGGCACCATGTTCCCGACAGGCACTTTCCTGGTGTTTTCCATTCTCTCCTTTTCCTTTCCAGGGAAAATACCCACTCCCTTCACTCCCTTATTCTGCCACCAAGTTTGCACTGGATGGATTCTTCAGCTCACTGAGCCATGAACTCATGATGCAGAAGAAGAATGTCTCTATCACAGTGTGCATCCTCAGTGATTGATACTGACACAGCATTACAGAATACCAGGTGTGTATTTAGAGGAGGGTGTGGGAATCTGGGAGTGTGTCTGCAGGAACATGTCTCTTCTTGACAGTGTGCATAAAAATGCACCACAACTGTGTTTAAAATGATGTGCAGATCTGTTTGGATGTGGAAGAAAACTAATGGGAAGAGTGCATCTGCTTGGGTACATCATGGGCATTGTGCCACGTCCACCTCAGCATAGTACATGAGCATGCCAAACCCTGTGGTAGTCAGACTGCACAGTTAAAACCACACCAAGGATTGACTGATTTTGAGTGATCCTCTGACTGTTCCCTTCCAGGGGCAAAGTGCACCCAACTGCTTCTCCTGCTCCTGAAGCTGCACTCACCATCATCCAGGGAGGTGCCACATGGATGTGGGAGGTTTTCTACCCATGGTGGCCGCTGCACATGCGGTAGCTCTGGGTTTTGTCCCCCAATGACAAGGACCAGGTTTTACAGAGTTACTGTAACTACAGCAGTCCTTAAAGGATGCCCACTCTCAGTCTCCTCTCCCATCCTACATCCCTTCTAATCACATTCCCCCTGTCCCGCTAAGCATCCCATGAGCCGTTGGTGTCAAGCCGGAGCAGGGCAGCAGCAGTGGTAAAGTAACCTTAGCTCTTTTCGTAAGTCTCATCTTGGTCCTCCTCTTATCCTGCTTCAGCCACAGTTCTGATATTTCTACTCATCAGTCACAGAGCTTTCCCACTGTTCACTCTGTCTTAGCCCTCCACCCATTCTCTTCCTTCAGCCTTACCTGTGTTTTTACTATTTCCAGTCTTCTCTCAGCTCCAGCTTTAACCTCTGTCTGTACAGGATGTAGTGGAATGTCTGTACATCCTGCTCCACTTCTGCATTATTTGTGGATTCTGTGAACCTTCTTGCTTCCTATAAATAGAATTTTAATTAAACTTTTTTTAATGTGTTGGTGTTACATGTTGATGCTGCTTCTGTGAAGGAAGGCTAGTGACCTGGCTTCTGTGCGCACAGGCCTGTTGGTAGATGTTGTTGACTGCACAGGACCTGTTAAATCAGCTCTTCCTTACTGTAAATGCCAAGATGCATTGATGATGCCTGCACTGAACAGGAGAAAGAATGTAGAGGGAATTCTTCCTTCCCTAACACATTATTCCTATGGATATGTGTCATGGCTTGTAAGTTCTAGCAGCTAAGAAAAAGCAGTCTTTGCTTGAATCCCCCTGGGCTGGGGATGGATAAATGATCCTATGTGGGCTTCTTAGTGTCTGAGAAGATGTTTATTTTGTGTGTTGTTCCTGGCCACAGTGCGTGAATCCTGTAGGAATTTTAAGTAGCTTTGAAAGTGTAACATTTTGCAGAAACTGGCTAACAGGTTTGGAATTTATTGGAACAGCCAGGTATTGCTTAAAAAACAGACTTGTCTAGGGAATATAGAACTAAAATGGAGAATGCAGAGCTTTGCCAATCACAAGGTCACTGCATGCCCGTGCTCCTTCCTTGCTCTGTTGACAGCTAGGTGCTAGACTAAGTGCAGTCTTGTTCTGAGCTAAATATAAAAACTTGTGTGCCTGCAAGAGATATGACTGCAGCTCGAGTTCTTACTCGTTACTGGGAATGGTGTGTGGCACTTTTAGTCGCAAGTAAATTTTATCCATGTCCTAGAAACAGACACCAGCTGAGTATTTTGTCTTCCTCCTTGCCACTGACTGGATTTTGAGATGACAGAGCTGTGTATGGAGCTGTGTGGAAAGAAGAACTCACTGCAATTCACAAACTCTGGCCTTTGAATTTGCTCCTTCTAAAACACACACCTGCTTGCCTCTCACAACAGTTTGCAGTATACACCTTGGCTCAGTCACTGGAGAATTGTGTTGGTGCGGGGGCAAGAAGGCATCAAAAATTGAGGTAGTCCTAGATTTCATTCTCTGCTCATGCTCTGCTTTTCTCCAGCACCATTAAAACAGGGGTTTCAAAGCAGAAGAAAGTCCCAGGGAAACTGGTGTTTTTATAGGAGGCGGGGCTGAACGATGGGTATGGCAAATGGAGTTGGTTCCTTACTAACCCCAAGCGTGCTCCTTACCTTCAGGGCAGAGATGAGCCTGTGCATTTGCTTTCACTTTTCCTGGTTCTGTGCATAGCACCAGATGGGCTGGGCTCTGGCTCTCGATTGATTTTCACCAAGGTGCAGTTGAGAGAATCAGTTTTGTTCGCTCAAGTGTGAGCAGAGTACACAGGAGTTCTTAAAAGATATCTGGTATGTTAACACAAGGGCTGTGACTGGTTTCTCTTTAGCTCTGCTGGAACTTGGCAGCTGAACTCATTCATTGCAATTGGGCTAATATAACAAACTTGCATTTTGGGGCACATATGCTGCAGACTGGAATAAAAATTCACTGACAGCCTTCTTAACAACACAGGGACACTGTGTGGTGTTCAGAGTAAGGCAGGGTTGTATTCTGTAGGACTCGGGCTCTGCCATCCATCCCCCTGTGAAATGCTTTTTAACTGACTGCACAGATGATTTGCTGAAGGGAAACAGGACTTTCCTTGCCCCAGGCCTTTGTTGACGGTCTTCAAGCGTAAGCATTATCTAAAAGCAGGTGCAACTAACACATGAAATAAAACTCCAGTTACTTAGCAAGTAAAACTTTTATTAAATAAATTTAAGATTTTTTTTTTTTTACCAGAGTGAGGAATTTGACATTGACGAAGCTTGTATCGCACCTGTAACATTGTACGTCACATCAGTAACTGTGATGGAAGAAACTGTAAATGCTTGTTTTAAACCAGCTTGACTTAGACTTTCCAAAGTCCTTTTTTTCCCATTTTGCTTTTTTTTTGTTTGTTTTTCTGTTTTGTTCAAAATTAGATTAAGTTTAAACTTCATGAAATTACTTGTAGCAGAAATAAAGTACATTATACAAATCACGTACATAATAGATGTTAAGTATAAAAATGGTATTTACAATAAGTAAACATGGACTATAGAAACACACTGACTCACACAGCTTCATCCATCTCAAACTCGGCATCAGATACAGAGGGATGGTTGAGGAGATGTGAAGGTACTAAAGAACTGTGCCACAAACATCTGAGCAAAGGGAAATGGAGGAGGATGAGAATTGACTGAGGTTCTCTGAAGTCCCATATCTTGCTTCAGATCAACTGCATCAACCTTTCTCCACCAACCCTCTGTTCATGTTTGAACGTTCACACGCACACACACGCACACACACAAAGGGGAATGTTCTCGGTACCTTATCAAACTCCAGAATATTGAAACTAATAATTCAGAAGGTTTATGGGGTTGGTTCATTTTGTTTTTCTTTCCTTTATTTTGGTAGAAATTTAAAGAGACTGTTTCAAGTTGTTAAAGGGATATGCCTTGTCTGTATGACACCCCCACCCCAGGGGATCTTTGTTAAATCAAGCTCTGAACTGTTCTGTGCTTAAGTGCATGTGTATATAGCTGTATTTATATATACTGCATAATGTATCATCTGTCCTTTGGAGGGGGTGGTAGGGAAAAAAACAGAATGGCAACCCTCTTCCATCATACTATCCTTGTGTCTGCTTGGAAGAGCTTTGAAGAGGGCGTGAGAGGAGAGTTGTCTCTAAATTCTGATGGAGAAGATGTCCCATTTTGTCTGGGAATTGGAAGTGCCTACTAACCAGCATTTGGTTACTTCCGACATGGGGAGGCAGTGTGTAGCCCCTGGGAGGCTTCTGTCACTGTGTTTTGGAGATTGCATCTGCTCATATTCTTTCATCTTCTCTTGCCTTGATCGAGAAAATGCTCTGTTACCATGGAGAGCTATGAAATATAGATCTGTGCCACGTGTGGGGAGGCAATACAGTTCCTGTACGTAAAGGGACTGATTTCCTGTGCTTGCAGCCTAATCGAGGAGTGCTCAGGATAGGCTTTGGCACCAAATTCCAGGAGCTTTGTCTGAAGAAGCCCTTGGAAAGGTAAGACTCAGAGCTCTTGAGATCCTTAACAAGGCTGGTGCTAAGGTCGGTGGATGAGTGACTTGAGCAGAGGAGCTGGCTGTGCCCTAATCCTGGAGGTATGTAGTTCTCTTTCTCCTTGCTTCTTGCTAATGTTGAGCAGAGAGATGTGCTCTCTCTCTCTTGCTTTCTGTCCATCCAAGCATCCTCTCAAAATGTTCAGGCCTATCTGCAGTGCTTGCTGAGAAGACACTGTTGCAAAGGTAAACACTTAACTTCCAATCCTTCTTGCAAGGAGTCAGTCTCTGAATGGAAAAGTTTGGTCCTGCGAGCCACTTTAAAAAAAAATAGAGACTGTATATATATATATATATATATATATATATATATATATATTTATATTTATCTATGAAAGGGCCAGGAGATGGGGCGGGAGGGAGGGACAGAGCTGTTTCCATACATCACTGCAGTAACCTAAAGACACACCAGTGGGTTTTCTTGGTCCATGTAGTCCAGGCATACCCCGAGAGGAAGAGCTTTGGATCCCCAGGTGCTGCTGGTTTTCTGGTCCCTTTGCTATGCACCACATTAGCAGCAATTATGCGAGTCCGTTGTGGCAGGAGTCTTCCTGCTGGGCAAATATTGAGCCTTCTCTTTAATTGCATGTTTTGGGGAGGAGGGCAGAAGGAGGATGGGGTGGGTAGGTGGGGAGCAGAGGAAGAAAAGGGGTGGTGTCAAAAGAGTTGATAAATTTACTGGCCTCTCTGTATATCAACCTGAAGCAGAAAATCTTCCTCTGGACTTTCCCTTCACCTGAATAGAAAGGGAGGAGGGAGGGAATGGGGAGATTAGGCAGACATCTATGTAAACCTCAGGCTTTGAGCTGCTGTTGCTTAAATGTGGAGGAAGATGACCTCAATTAGGAGGAGACCAAGATCAGCCCTCCCTTGCTCCCAGTCTGTTGGATGGTAGGAGCTAGCTTTTTGTCAGTCAGCTCTTCCCGTGGCCCTTCAGGGTCTCACCTTTTCTCTGCTTTCCTGTGATCCCTGTGAATCATGGGATTGTCCCTTCTTGCCCTGGAAAGCATTGTCTGCAGACTAAAACAAAACTATTGGGTTTGAAAACCTTTTTAGGAAGATGAATACTTTTTGGGAGCAGTCAGAAAAACTGAAACTTTGCTTAGGTCACAGGCAAGTAATTTGAACCCATCTGCTTGTCAGGGACCTGAGTGCACTAATGGGCCTCAATAACGTTGACCAGCCTCACCTGGAGATTCTGTCCACACCTGCCCATGGGCCCAGGACTCTCATTATAGCTCAGGCCTGTGCCTTCAGTCATTCTCTGATCTATATGGTGCAAGTGCCAGTCTCCAGCTGCCCATGGACCTGTCGTGTCCATGGATCTTACTATCTGGACTCCAACCCTTGGATTGTCTTCCCATCTTGATGCTGGATCTGTTTATTATTCCCATTATAGACCTGCCTGGCAATCACTGGACTGTGTCTGACCCTGTTTACCTTCAGCAGACCTGATCCTGATCTCAACCTGAAGATTAACTCTGTGGCTTGACCTTGGGCCTGCCTCATTGCCCAAACCTCCCTGATGATCAAGATTCTTGGTTGAACCTGGCCATCATCTCCAGGCCTACCTTGGTCAGGTTGCTCGGGTGCTGGGGCTGAGCCCTGGCTGGTGAGGCCTTTGCCCTGCTAGCTGTGTTAATGCATTCAGCTCGTGGCTTCCCACCCCATAGGAAGCAGCCAGACCTTGCTGACCCCTGACACTGGCCAGCACTGTGTAGGAACTGTGCTGTGATGCTGCCAGCTTTACCTGTGCTGCAGAAGTGACTCCTGCTTGCTCACTGCTGTCAGTAGGGATGGTTAGCATCCTTGGGTCGTTTTAACTGGACCTTCAAACGTTTCATGCCAATCTGGAAGCCATTCATTGCCTGGATAGCAGTCTGTGCACTGGATGGGTTGTCAAAGCTTACAAAACCTGAAGGCCAGGACAAAGGCATGGATAATAATGGCACTGTTGGTGCCATGCCCAATGCATGAGTGTCCTCGTTATCCATCATGCTTCCCTTGCCCGCTGGCATCAGCACTCACCAAAACACTTGCTCTGGTTGGTGGCACGATCCATGAATACCTTGGAGGAAATTATATTGCCAAAGGGCAGGAACATCTGCATCAACTCATTGTCTCCAAACTCCTGAGGGAGATGGTAGATGAAGAGATTGCAGCCTTCAGGACCTGCAGGCATGGGGGCAATGGGGAGGGACAAAACAGAGCCCCCAAAGGGATGGGGAAGAGAAATGGGCTCATTCAGAACACAGCACTGGAAGAGAACCCCAGCACTGCCGCCTCCTGTCTTGACCTTCCCTTGCTCATCTCTTAGCCACTGGTCCATGAAGGGTTCTCAGGGTTCTCTAAGAGTAGCTGGGAGGCTATATGCAGAGCTAGTTTTTCTGGAGAACAGATTCACAGCTTGCCCAGTTCCCAGGTGGGGTGTTGGACACAACAACTCTGTGACTGACTGGGTGCTGTTTTGCTGGAAGGAAACTAGCTGAGGTGACAGCTCCTTGTTCATAGCTCTCCTAATCCTAGAAGAGTAGCAGGTGCTGCTATGTGAAAACTGCTGCTCTAGTGTTCCCCGCCCGCAGCTGTAGAGTGGCTACCTTCAGCCCATAAGCCGCAACCTCAACTGGAAATCTCCTGGATTGCCACACATCTGCTTTATGGGCTGACTTGGTCCTGCCCACTCCTTCACGTGCTCCCTGTGAGCCTGATGAGCATAAGGAGCTGTTCCCTTCCTGACACCTGCTGTGTAAAGCAGGAGCAGAGTGCCTTTGCCTCCAAATTCTGTCCAGGACAGTTTTGAAATAAGTTGAAAAATAAACTCAGGAGGCTAGGAAGGCTGAAGAGAGAGGAAAAGCAGGTTAGAGAGGCTGGTTTGACTGGTATCAGTGTGGTTCTGGCATAAGTAAAGATGGGGAGGAAGTGCTCTTTTCCCCTGCCTATGTAGGGAAGGTGCTGACTCTTATGCCCTTTGGTGTCAAAGCTTCATGTTCTAATGCTTGCTGTCCCCTTTGTACTTGGAAGCATCTGGCCAGGGATGAACTCAGAAAGTCTTCATGACAAGCATCCTCTGAACCCTTCCAGTCCACTCACTGCAGGGACAGGGTTGGTTCCATAACCCAGCTCCATTATTAGAGTGGACAAATACTAGTGCTGTCTCCTCTCCATTGATTCTGTGGTGCAGAAGATGAGCTACACAAACTCTGCTCCCCTGCCCTGCCAGAACTGGACACATACATTCCCACCCTGTTCCTCACCTTCTCGTTGCTGCTGCTGCAGGATGGGAGGTGGCTGAGGGATGCTCTGAGCAACGGGGGTGATGGTAGTGGTTGGATACACAGCTGTATTCCAGGGAGACAGAACAAACTGTTTACCTGGGGATCTGGTCAGCCACATAAGGGCCTGAGGGAAACAACAGAAGCTGGTACCTGCATACTGCTGAACTCCTGTGAAGGCTGGGTGCAAAGTCTCTGCTACTGAAGGGCTCTGGGCTGCAGAGAAGAACATAATCAGAAACTCAGTAAAGGGAATCACTCATGTGTTCTCTCTGTCCCTCTCCCTCCACCCCTCCCGCCAAGTGAGTCTCAGTGCCTGGCCTGTAGGGAGCTAGAAAAAGTGTTCTGTGTGGGAATCCAGAAAAAAGGAGCTAACTGCAGTTCCTGAGGTCTCTTGATGTTTTGTTTTGTTTTTTTTCCTGCTTTCTGTACCTGAGTATGGCACAAGGCCATTGGTGTAAACTGTTTCCAAGGTTGGATGCCCATTTGGGAACGGTACTACTCCAGTGAATCCATTGGAAATGGGTGCCACTAGTCCCGGCATGGCTGCTGTTCCCAGGAGGGGTGGTGAATGTAGCCCTGTAGAGCAAGAAAAGAGGATATCCCATGAGAGTCAAGGTCCCGCAAAGCCCACCCTCCCTCCTTCCATATGCCTGGCAAGAAAGCTGTTCATGAAGCTATTATCTCTTCTAGTTGGCACATGGAGGTGACATACTAGTGCTGGAGCCTTCACAAAATGAGAGGCAGCACTAGTGAGAAGAGTGCACAGCATTGCTAGTCCTGGCTGCTGTCAGAGCTTTGAGACAGAATGTTTTTAATCCAGGTTTGTACAGTACCTAGCATCGTACAGCCCTGTTCCTGACAGGTATTCAAACTCAATATGCATTATTGCTGATACTATTAGTGTGGGATGATGATAATGAATAATAGTACTGCTGTACCCAGAGTCAGGTGCAATCTTGGCAACCTGGTCCCTCTTTACTATATCAAAGGGAAAAACTGCAGTAGTAGGGCAAGAGAATGTGTGTTGAACGTGTGAGGATGTCACGGAGGTTGCAGAAATTTGTGCAGAACGAGGGACTGCTGTCCTCAGAGGCTGCATTTTTAGAACAGCAGCCTAATCCAGATGCTGAGCCCGGACGGATATGAGAACTGTTTTACCTGTAGGAGCACCGTGCTGAGTGCTGGGGCAGAAGGTTCACTGGTAGCGAAGGACTTGCTGCGTCCTGGCCCACACCAAGCCCTCACCTGATGTTGGTGCAATAGGAGTGGCTGGCAGCCCGTTGAGACTGACGGCACCCATCTGTTGGATGTGGCAAGGAGAAAAGGTGACACCTGGGCTCAGGTAGCTGCCGTGGGAGGTGGAGAGAACTGTCGTCTGCTGCTGCATCAGCTGCAAGGCAGGACCACGCAGTCAGGGCCCCATGCTGCCCACAGCTTGGCACCACTGAGGGCGTCGTGCTGCCCAGGGGTTTCAATCCACTCCCAGTAGCTCAGCCCGGGCCCTGTGCTGCTGGGGACCTCCTGCCATCACGGCCCCACCACAGCCGTGGGCAAAGCCTCCACCTTCCGCCGCTGCTGCCTGTGGCCGGGGATGAGCCAGAGCTGCAGCCTCCTCGCCATCCCCCCGCCACCTGCCCCAGGCCTTCCCACCACTCCACCAGACCTGCCAGGCTGGGCGGCAGCCTCACCAGCTGACAGTCCCGGCACCCGGGGGGCCTCAGGTGGGCCTTGGAGCTTCCTGCAGCCCCGTGCTCACATAGGGGCTGCCCCTGCCGAGACAGGTCGGCAGCCTGGGCCAGGCCATGCGTGGAAGCACCCAAGAGCTGGGCACAGCTTCCCACCCTGCAGCTGGGGGACACAGCTAAGCAGGCATCCTCCACAAAGCCAGGGCCATAGCCGGGCAGCCCCCCACCCACCCTCACCCCCTCTGCATGCCAACAGCTTTGAGGGGTCTTCACACACTCCAGCTATGTGCCAGGCCATCGGGATGGGACCCTCCTGCTCCAAGAGCTCCTGCAGTAGGGAAGGGGGCAGGGAAAAGGGTGTGCTCCTGGCACGCAGCAGCACCCTCTCACCACAGGTGCTACAGCTCAGCCACTTCCTCCCAGCCACAGCCACTTCTGTGAACGCTGCCACTTCTCCTGGGACAGTGCCAGGTATTAAATAACACCGCTTTGCCTTGTGGATTGGGGTCCAAATCGCTCTCTTCCTGCCCAGCCTCAACAAGGAGACCGTGCTGTTGGGAGACACACAGAGCTCGTTCTGGTAGGTGCAGCCTGCCATACAACCATGTGTCCATCCAGGCCCAGCTCCTATACCATGCTTTGCCATCTGAGGTCTGCCCCGTGATCCACAGAGCTCAATCTTCCCTCTGGCAGTGGCCTGCACCCCAGGGTTGGGGGATGGCAGCTCTTTGTGGTCCCGTAGCACACGTGACTTGGCAGAGATGCACAATGCAAAAAGAAGGGGTGAGGGTGTGGGGAAGGTGGAACACAAGGTTGAGAGGAATGTTAGGAGGAAGAAGAAAAAAGTCCTTCTGGTCCTATTTGACCATCGGTGCTCTGGAGCATAATATTAAATCAGAATGCACTCAGAGTACAGTGGCAACAAAGACTTAGTTCTGGATGCAAAATTATTTAGCTCCTTTATAAGCCATTTTCATCAAACCAGAAGAGCAGGGGAGGCACAGGCAAGGCTCTTTGGAAACTAAAATTCCACAGGAGGAGCTGGGAGGTGGCACATAGCAAAACCCAAGAAAAAACACAAATCCTCCTTACATTAACTGGAACTGTATCCCACTGTCTGCTTTGCAACATAAATACACAGCATGCAAGTAACCTGCCTCATCCACAAAGGACTGAGTCAGTAAGTCAGTTTGGCCCAGGTCTCAGCTGGGGAATCTGGCAACTCTGAAAAATTCATGGCTAGTTAGTTAAACCTTCTCTTAGTTTCCTCCAAATAGAAGCTGATTATTGCTGTTGTGTAAAAGGAAGAGGAATTGCCAAATTTCATGGCACTGCTGTCTCTGTAAGCTGGCACAAACAAAGCAGCTGGGGTGGAATTGACTCTGCAGGGCAGCGCTGGGATAGGGGAGAGTCCTTTTTGGGGCAGATGTGGAACACTCCCAGGCATTCCACAGACCAGGGTCTCTGCAGGCAGGCAAGACTGACTGACAGGAAAGGGATTTGCTACCATTTGACCACAAAGCAAGCACATTGAAATCATCTCATCTTTTCACCACCACATTGTCTTTGGAGTGACTCCCCTGAAGCAGGACTCACTCATATTACTGAAAAACATTCACCCTGAGCCAAGATTACAGAAAAATGTGGCCTTCCTGAAAGCACAAAATTCTACTATGGAAGGTGTCTCTGTGGCAAGCAGTCTGCACATATTCCTAGTCTTATCTTCACACTGTTCCCATTTAAGGATGCAGGAACCAATGCATTTCTTACTAGATGAATATTGATTTTTTTTTTTCTCATTAATGCCTGTTCTCTGCCAGGCTCTGGCTGGAACAAAACCTGCATCCTCTGCACATGCAACAAACTAGCATTCTGAAATTGTTTTAATTACTTAAATAAAATTACCATAATGAACCATAAGAGCAGAAAGAAAAGGTGCGGGGGGTGTATGTGTGGACAAACGGTGTTTTGTGTTTAGAACTCATTTATGAAATACAAGAAATAATCAAGCATTATAAGCAGCTAGTAAACTGCACTGGCTGCTTTTTTAAGACTTCAGGCCTCTTTTGTAATGATTATTATTTTTTTCAGTTCTCAATCAGTTCCCTGCTTCCATCTGATCTAATCACTGAATTCAACTTGTTGAATAAACTGAAATTAAGAAAATACTCACTTTTTACTTGCAGAAGAGGCATCTGGCATCAACACCTGGTTTAAGCACTGAAATAAACTGCTTCCAGATGCCTAGCCAGTCTTATTTCCCAGATAAGCATGAGCATTTTTCTTACAAACTGTATCAGCTAACACATAGTTTCACTGTTTTTAATATCTTATTTTGTATATTTGAATAGATCAGAATAACCTTAGACCCAAGTTTGTGATTATTTCATGTTTGAGATATTTTTTAAAGTAAAATGCAATTAATAAATTTAAAACATCCAACTGAAAAAAACAAACAACTAAACAAAAAAAACAACCAACCAACAAAAAAAAACACCAAACAACCCAGGCTCCAGAATTCTTCTTAGGCCAGGGACTCTGGGGACTGCTTTGGCTTGGTGAGGCAGTGAATCTCATGGGGACAGAGAGAGAACATTGTTGGTGTCTTAAATTGTGAATGTAAGAACCAATGCATATGATGCGCCAGTTCACCCCAGCAGCACTCACTCCTCTCAGTCTGCTTCAACCACATACATAATTCTCGGCTGTATCTCCAGGGCCTGTGAGTAACCTTTGGTGCAGCATCTACCACTCCAAACCCTGCACCATGCAAGCATGAACTTTGAGTTCCCTTGAACCCTGGCTTACCAGAGATCCCAGCTCCCAAGAGCTGCCCATGGCAGGACATTTGGAGGTGCTGTAAGGAGATTCTGTCCCCACTTCCAGAGATATTAGATGGCATTTCAAAGGGTTGATACCCTCTCCCATCTGATGGGGACACTGTATGCATATAAGAACTGACTAGGATCTCTCTTCCAGGAGAAGGAAGACCAAAGACTGGGATGACACAAGAGAAGATACAAGGTGTGAGGTCAGTGCCTCAGAAAGAAGGAGGAGAGAGAACCAAAACCAGTGGAAAGTAAAAGGAGAGGAAAAAACCTGAAAGAGTGGGAGACAGGCTGAGTTGAGTCAAGGGAAAAGCCAAAATAAAGTCACAGAGCAGGAAGGCCAGTGAGGAATCAGAGACAAAGCAACAAATTTACAGACACAACTGAGGAGAAAGAAGATGCAGATAAGCATGGAGCACAGCCTAGGCCTGACTGGATTCTTGTCATCAGCAGAAATTTCCGAAGACTGGAGGGAACTTAAAGACTGAGTCTAGAAGGTCCTGCTGCTCTCCTTCCTTATGCATCCTGGTTCGTAAGCTAACAAAGTACTTTTTGCCATCATAATCTCACTGTGTGGTCCATTCCTGCCTCCTTCACCATCATACCATGTCTAAGTTAACACCACCTCCATGACAGCAGAAGATACACCAGAATGATATTCTCATAGATGACCCACAGCTGAGCTAAGATACAACCTTTGACATCAGGTGCAGCTGGCTTGTGGATTACAGGGCTGGATAGAAAAGATTGGTCCTGGCAAGAGATACTGATGTTTGGCCAGAAAGGGTTCTCCCCTCTAAACCATTCTTCTGCTGCAAGCCTTGGTGCTTGGAATGGTATAGCTGTTCTCAGCCTCATCACGCAAGAAGAATCAAATAATCTGCACTGGACAAATTCAACATTTGGTTCTCAAAATTACCCAACAGTATGGAGCTTCATATGTATTGCCTCTTTTGCTACTCCATGCTCTTGCCACACACTTAAATTGCATTTGGCAGTTTCTGGGGATTCTTTGAGAGGAAACAGCCAACAATTGAGAAACAGTTCCTTCTCTGTCCTGTAGATGGAAGGGAGACACACCAAGTAGCCAGTGAAACCAGAGGTGAAAGAGGTGTCCACCTATATGAGAAGAATAGGTTTATTTGTGCTCCCTTCCCAGCAAATTACTTTTAGTAACAGTATCTACTTTTGACTTCTTTGACACAAGCATCTTTCATGCCTTAAGCAATTTCTGAATCTCCTTCCATGGGCTTTATGCTTCATAGCAGAGACCTGAAAGTGACAGTCACCAGGAAGACACAAAAGATGCTCCACCACAGCTGATCATGGACTTGTTGAGTTTGGGACCTACCTCAAACATCAACGGCAATCACCACCATCACTCCAAGGCAATAAAGCTCTCTCACTAAGAACCAAAGCACAGCCAGTCTTGCCAGAGGAGGCCAGACTGCTGAAACACCTCTGACCCTCTGCTATGCCCTGGTCCCTCTCCAGTATCCTGCAAACCCCACAGTCACACTAGCCAAGAGAGAAAACCCTGGGAGCCAAAAACAGCACTGGGGGGATCAGGGCCCTTCTGAGAATTTCAGCAGAGAAATAAACACATGAAGCTGGGCCCAGGGTCTCATGGTGCTCCAAAAACAGAGACACACATTTGTGCCACAGACCCAGAGGAAGAGTTCACAAATTGGCAGACTGTCATGTCTGGCAGACATCACCCAGGAATCATGGCTCTGAGCTGTCCTCAAAACAAGACAGAAAGACACTGGGACATGCTTGACCTGTTCCCAGACACCTCCGCCAGTCTACATCACATCAGAGAAATCCAGCCTCACTTTGAGAAGGTCCCAGCTCTCTCCTGTCACCCCTTCTAGGAGAGAAATGCACAAAGACTAGGCTGCTAACTGGAGAAACTGAAGCCAGAAACAACTCCCAGGTGCCAGCAAGCATTCACGCATTTGTTAGAGAGACCCATTTGCGGTCTCCCAGCCCAGGTATGGTGTTGCCCCATAGCCAAGAGGGCAGCCTTTCCCCACACACACACCCGTGATACTCACAGCCTGCGCATAGGCGCTGTATGGGCTGAACGGCAAGGTGAGAGATGGAGTGAATATCCCCAGCTGCCCCACCATTTGTTGCATACGACGGAGGGTCCTCTCCTTATCTGTGTCAGCAAACTTCACCACTAGACTGGAGGAGGCGCCCTAGGCACAGAGAGAGGAGACAGAGAGAGAAGGCAGGGGAAGAAGGTGCCGCAGGACAGCCAGAGAGTCAGCAGTCAGGCAAGGTGGGATGGGGCAGAACAGGCAGCAGAGAGGAGTGGGAAGAGGAGCAGAAGAGCAAATATTGGCGTGAAAGTGCTCAGGCGCTGCCTGAAACCTGGGCTGTGCCATTGCCCTTGCCCTTCCCCATCCATCCATCCATCCATCCATCCATGCACCCATGCATCCACCCACCCACCCATCCCTTCCTTCCCTCTCCCACCCTTCCCCTCACACCCTGGGCCTTGCACAGCTGCACAAGTGGGTGCACACATCCCTGGCTGTGTTCACCAAGTGATGGTGCAGCCAGGAACACCCAGGATGTTGTCAGCAAGCACCATCTTTCTACCACCATAAGCTTGGCTGGATAGGCAGAACAGTTCCTGGCAGCTGGAAATACCCCTGCTGCAGCAAAGCACTGTCCTGCCCACAAGGTGCCTTAATCCAGGTTAGAGATCATGAGTGACAAGATCACAACTGCAGCTCTACTTGCCCAAGAAAGCACAGCTGCAGCTACACAACCCCACACAATGCACAAAATATTCCCATCCACACCCAGCCTGCCCCATAGGCCTCCTCTACTGCCTAGAAGGTGGGGAGTGTATGCAGACACTGGAGTCCTGATTCCTGATGTTGCTGAATTGTTAGCTTGCACCCTGAGCAGTTTTGAACTACTTCAGCTAGCTGTCTCGAAGACAAATTCATGGCCCGGTTCTTGGCTCTCTTTTATTTACCCTTTATAGTTATAAGTGGTGTTACTACCTATCTGTACAGACAGATACACACACCAGCCTAGGAGACAGGATGGTTCCCAAATACAAGAGCACAGTTGTGCACACACACACCTCCCACCCTCCACAACCACACAAGGTAGAAACTGCAGTTGAACCTGTCATGGTTTTGGACAGCAAGGGGAAGTCCCTGCAACAGGGTGATGGGAAGAGGATTAGGAAGAGGGTAGGTACCCTGGCCTTATACTCACGGGCATTGTCTGGCTGCCATGGAGTGCGTGGATTGCTGCCTGAGCCTCTGTGTGAGATGAGAACTTTACAAAAGCACAGCCTGGAAAGGGACAGAAAGAGCACAGGAGATTGCAGTGACAGGACTGCTGTGAAAGTGCCCCTCGCATCATCATGCAAGAAACACTATCTGGATCTCAGGCAGGGCAAAGGAAAGCCACCCCAAGAAAGCAGGGAACAAAAAGGATGACATCCCAAGTCCTCTATCCTGGAAAATATAGGAAGGGTCTCAAATTGTTACTTCAATGATATACTCTATAGATGATGTCACCATCTCCACCCTTGCCCCTGATTACCTCTTCCCCAAATTATATATGCACTCCTAATTGTGGGTACAAACATTTCAAATTGCAGACCCAGACTGAGCCAATAGGCTCACTAGTGATCCTGATACCTCAGCTGCTCACCATGCTCTGCTTCCCCTCCTTTCACCTTGGTCTCTGCCCAAGATCCCCAATCTTTCCTTGCAGTGCACAACTCTTCCTGCCCTGCTCCCTATGCCTGGCTGTGATATGAGTTCCCATAGAGATGGGGCAGGAAAACAAGTGCCCTAGTGGAAAGGAGGCACAGGTGGTGAGGCAGGTGAGCACTACCTGAAGAGCAGGGAGACAAAGAGCATGACACACAGAGGGGTTCACACCTTTGCTGTTACCATCAGGTCCACGGAGCACCGTACATTCATCAATGACCCCAAATGGTTCAAAGAGACGGAGCACATCATCCTCAGACTGTTGCTTATTTAACATGCCCACAAAGAGCTTCCTGTCCCCTAGGGGCAAACACAGAAACATCAACCTTCTATGAGGCTTACAGTCCAAAGCAGGAGGATAGGGACACTTAAGCACAAAACAACCTAGTGTTGAAAACATGTCTGGCATGGAAATGATTTGCTGTTGGCTGAAATGCTTCCAGGGGTAAGTATTCAGGGTCCTCCCAAGCTCCTCACACTTCCAAAGGTTTCTGTGGTTTCCCCTCTCCTACCCTCCCCAAAGGAAAACAAAAAATTAATAATTTCCTTCTATTCATTAGCCCTTTCCTTTGAATGATCCTACACAAATGGTAATAAGAAAAACTACCTAAGCAATTATACCCTCATTGAACAGTATGTGAAGTTCAAGAGATACCTTAGGAAATAGAGCAGACCAACCCAGGCAGGGTGAAAAAACTGCAGGACCCTTGGCTTCCGTTTCTTTTTCCTCTTCTCCAAGATTACTGTTTCCACAGCAGCTATGTAACCAAGATCTTAGCTTCAATTTGCCCTTCCCTACCCCAGTCTAACCAATATGTCTACCAAGCTGTCCTCTAAGGCCTGGAATAAACCCTGGCATCCTGGGTCCCAATTTGCCTCACCATAGGATCAGCCAAATGCAAGACAGTTGGGTGAGGGTCAAGAAAAAAGCTCCATGGTCCTCATTCCCTGCTCTCCAAGGGCATTTCGTGCCCGTGTCACACTGGCGGTGGGTGGAAGGCTGGCCAACACATCCAGGACTTTGAGCTGAGGGTCCTTCTAGGTTCCTCCATCAGAAGGGAGAAGTAAGGATTATGGTTTTGTTGGGATGGCCAAGTGTGGAGGTGGGAAGAAAGGCGCACAGTGCTTCCTCCCCATCTCTACTGCCATCAGTACACGCAGGGGCCCATCACAGAGCCTGACGCCATCCAGTCAAGCACAAACACAGCAGTAGTTGGGGCAACATCCTCCAAAGAGTGCTGTGAACAGCTATTAAAACAGCACAACATTAAAATCCCAGCCAGACCGATTTCCATTTTTGCAAGGAGACAGCTGTGCCAACTACAGAGTTAACTCTCCCCCACTGCCCCAAACAGGCATGGGGAGATATGACCCATAGGAAAAAGTGTATCAGGATATGGCTTGAGAGGAACAGTGACAGAGGATTCTGCATTGTTGGTGACAGAATCAGAGAGGCAGGCTTCAAATAAAACGAATGTAATGTGACACACATCAGGGAAAATAGCAAGGAAGCTGCTAGCTGTTTGAGAGTGCGGTGACCTGAAAAACAACAGGTCTTGGAGCTACAGCAGCAGAGCAGGCTGCAGGGGTGGTGGTGTCTATGTATGGTAGGAATGGATGACACATTACACATTCACACTGCCGGCAAAGCGCCCCAAGTTCCCTTCTTACTCCCCTTGGCTCAGAGGATGGTTCCCACCCAGGTAAGTAAGCAAGCTGCCTCCCCCACACTGCTCTGCCACATGCAGACACACTTGGGAATACATGCAGGATATATCTACACATGCCATTGATCCTTTGCAGAAAAGTAGATGCACACACACAACATTAATGGACAAGCACATAGGCTCACGCATACACAGGAACATGCTTGCACGTTGATCCAGCCACAGCAGGTGCCTTCAGAAGCAAGCTTCCTCAGCACAAGGGATGTGCAGACAGATACACTCTTCCACCAACCATGCAGACACCACAGGGAGCTACTTTGTATGGCTGTACCACACCACTGAGCCCAAGCACAAGCTCATACAGGCACAGCTCTCCACTAGGCACTAGGGGTACATGCAACACAGATGCCACTTTGATCCACCACAGAGAAAGAGTTAAAAGTGCTGCTCTCATCCAGTCCCAAACAGATACTCCTTATTTATATCACTGGAAATGGCTGAAATATATGGCCTTGTGTATTTCTTAAAGGCCAAATTTCTCAGCTTCACCATTTTTATGATTCCCTGGATAACTAAACCTGTGTGAATTTCATGCCCTTCTGTTTCCCTTGTGAGTCTTTCTACACTTCACCCTGCGCTTGCATAACAATGCATTTTGGAGACACTATTTCAGCTGAGTCCATCCAAAATTTAGTGCTCTGGCAATGCTCAATAATCCCCAGCCAAGACATAGGAAATAATAAACCAGGTGCTGTAGAGTTGCCTTCTTAGCAGTACGACAGTATCTGCCCCCACCCAAGGGCCAGCTCAGAAATGCTGGTGGGCAAACCAGCCAAAAGCTAGCACCTAGAGAAGGTGAAAAATCTGACCGGGAGTGAAAAGAAAATGGCACTGGTCAGGAACATATTTAGTGGGAGGTGGAGAGCAGAATGGAAACCAAAGGAGCAGTAGCCCTGTGCTCCCATTAACATCACCTGGTGCCATATGTGATCCCAATTTGGCTGTGGGAGGGGACACTTGAGTTCTGCAGTGTTTCCCCTTCCTCTACCCTGAACCTATATTGCAGCTGCAGCCAGGCCTTATTTCAGATATGTGTACCATGCTGTAGCCTTTGGATTGCAAACACATCAGGAGTTCCTCAAAAAACACATCAACAAAGGGAAGAAAAACATTGGGAAACATTTGTACTGACTTTAGATGCTGTAAAATAATCCTCTGTCCTTTGAATTAACATGCAAATAATTGTGGACTAAGACTTAACAGCCAGAAATGCACTCGATGGTCTTGCCTTGCTCTTTAGGGACCCCAATAGGCTGTCTGACTATTTGGGTCAGAGTGGCATGGGAGCATCAAGACAACTGGGGAAGTCAGTTATATTATAAATTTTAAAAGCTGGAACTCTAGGTGGGGAGAACATACAGCTACATGGACGTAATGTTACTTTTGTATCATTGGCCTTCTGCTTCTGGATCTGATTTTGTGTAAAGTGAGGTTTTTGTCAAAGAATAGTGAGTAACCAGTGGAGAGTCAGCAAAGTGGTTCCAGTTTTGGCTGATGACTAATTCAGTGCAAAGACCTGATTGTTACCATAGCCACCCAAAGCTTAAGTCTCTACTAAGCAACAGTCTAATGGGTGCAAGAGGCCACCACTTTGCAATGGAGGCACTGAACCAAAAGGAATCTTGTCAACTTGCAAACAAATCAACACTAAACTACGAGTTACTAGATGCTTTCTCCTTCAGAAGGCCTTGAAATTTCCTGGATAATTCCTGTGGTTCCATCCTCACACTATTTCTGTTGGATCAGAAGCAATTTTCTTTACTCTGCACTTTGGAAAAGGTCCACTGAAACAGTGGATGCTAGTCTCCATTCTTGCAGTCTTACTGCAGGCCTTCTGTTGTCTGACAGGGCTCACTAACTGAACGTTTTGTAAGTCCCATGTTTATGTGGGAATTTCAACTTTTCTTTTTGAATTTGGAAGAAAAAATGCCAGGCTTCCTGGCTATGCAGAACAGGTTAAAACCTTAGGGACTCAAGCTGTAAAGGCAAATACAAAGAAGCCCAGTTCCCAAGATTGCCTGTGGGAAAAGGACCCAGACTTGTTCCTGTAGGATGGTCCTTTTCAGCAACTGGGAATTTGTCAGAGGGCTCCTCTACTGCTGACCTCTCTCCCTCTCCATGTGTTGGAGCCCAGACCATGATCTAGTGCCCTCTTGCTTTGGGCAACTTCCAAATAGCGGCATTCCCCTACCAATAACCAAGCTGCCTCATCTCTCCACAACTGGGCTAAAACCCTGCAAGCCCTTTCACCTGACGTCTGCTGAAACCACCTGCAAAATGGTCGATCCCAAATCAGTTGGCAATCCTTGAGCCACTGCTGCGAGTCCCTGGCTCCTTTGGCTTCTCAGCAGGGACTCCTGCTGTGCTGGAAGATCTTCTCTCCCCACTTAAAACAATACACCTTCCTCCTGCCATTCTTCCTTCACTTTCTCTCCAGCTCTTGTTTTTCACCCTCTGATTGGCAACTTCCCATGCTGTCCAGCAACCAGGAAAATTATCTGTGATCTCTCACTCTTGAGTTCCCATGGAAACGTGCTCTGGGCACAGCCAGTGACCCAGGCAGCAGGAGGGCCAGTGCAGAGCAGGTTGCTGATGAAGATACCACGGGGACAAGCGAGGGGTTAAGGCTGAATGCTTTGGCCATGAGAAAGAGAGGAGAGCACACAAGCACGGGACACTGCTCCTCTTTAAACCCAGTGGATTTAGGTCATCTGGCCAGTAGCTGTCAGCAGCAATGATCAGGGAGATGGAGGAAACCCGCTCAAGCAGTTGGCTGTGGATGGGAAGCAGCAAATCTCCTTGGGTATGCAGACAGCTTCCTTGTTTCTAAGGCAGTGCTAATGGGCTTGGGCTAGCTGTCATATCACATCAGTGCAGCAGAGTGCTCCAGGTCTCACAAGAAGCACAGAAAGGCTCCTCTGCCCCCTCACTCCATCTCCTCCTAGCATTCCCAGACTCACATCAGAGGCATGAGGGAAGGGAAGAAAGAGCTGACAAAGCCTGCGCCAGAATCACAGGTCCCCCTCTGAACTAATGCAGGCAACATGTTTTCACTAGTGAATTCCTTCTGCAGGGTGCAGTAATGCTGAGCATCCAGATATCCTCACACAGCCCCTGCAGGGCTTGGCCAAAACTGCCCCTTTGGCACAAAAATTAGCATCTCTTAGACCAGGAGACAAATTCTGGTACTCTAACTTCATGTACTTAATTCAGGATGCTTAATTTGAGAGATGTCAGTCCCTGGAGAGGATAAACGAGGTTCCCTTCAAGGATAATACAGAGCAAAGTCTCAATGATGCATGAAGCTGTTCCCTTGATAAATTCCTAGTTCAAGCAGTTCTGCCCTGCCCCAAATCTTTCTTTTACCTCCTGCCAGTGTGGGGCTATTGCTATAGGGAACAGCTCTTCCCATATCTGCAAACTTGCTCACCCACTTCTCTGACAAATGGAGCATCATGACAGAAACTTTTGAAAAGAGCAACCTGATTCAGACAAATATAGGGTGCTATCTTGATGCTGCTTCTGCCTCGGGAAAAATTCCAGTTTGTCATGGATCCTGTGGGAGCTACTCATTTCTGAACTCTGGAATGAAGCTGGAAGAAAACTGGGCACATGGGCTGGAGGGAGGCTCAGTCTGGTGTTCAGTCTCCAAAGGTTGCTTTTCTCTATGACCTTCTCCATGGAAAGCAGAGCTGATGTCCTGACATTTGCAGTCGTTAGAGACTGTGGCACTTTTCATAAGCTCAGAGATTTCAGAGTCCAGTGCCTTGACCAAAAGCTTGCCTCCAGATCAACATCCTGGTTTTGAACCTGTTGGCCTATTTCAGCTCCATTTGACAGAGGATCTGAGGCATCAGAGAGGTTAAGTCCCAACACGTTCTGTGATACTAGGTGGCTGTGTATAGAAGAGAGCTCCTAGTAGTGCCCCACAAGCAAAAGAAAGACTGCAGAAATTACCTCAGCCTAGTTATTAGACACTAGAGACTCCAAAGTTGTGCTCATCAGAGAAACACAAACTGTTAAGAAAACAGAGCTGTAGTGATAGCTCTTTTCACAGCCTGAACTGTCTGTTTTTACTGTTGTTGTGTGAGGGCTTAATGCAGGGGTGTCAGCTGTGCATGGATGGTACTGGTGAAGGTAAATGTGTGCATTTGAACGTGTGCATCAAGTGGGCACTTGTATGTATTTGCAAAGCAGTGCACACATGGGGCACCCATCTGTAGGTACATCTGCCTGTGTCTCTGTGTTGGCTGTGAGGGTTGCTATGCAGCCGTGTCTTAGAGCCTGAGACTGAATGGGATCTGCCAGTGTGTACATGTAATGGTTTTGTAATGTTGAGTTACTGGTATGACTGGCAAAGGCTTTCCTAGTCTCCCATGCTTTTTGTTTTTTTTTTCCTTAAAAGACTCATCATGAATAACCTCAGATACAATTACACAATTTCTGCATTAATTAGAAATCTGGGGTGCAAATATTTAAAATAAATGCTGTAGGGGAAGGATTGACCACCTAATGGTTGTATCCAGAGGCAATTTGAGGTGTCAGTGAGCAGTCAGCTGCTTCTATCACCAGTGCAGGCACCTCTAAAGGACAGCTCATTCACTCCTAGTATCAGTATCAAGAGTGAGAAAGCAAATCACCCTGAAGGCACTGGTCTCTTTTTACTGTCTACAGCATGGACAAGGACCTTAAACTCAACCCTGAACTCAGGGGCTGAAGAAAGATGAGATGAATCCAGTCCTATGTGTTTTAGGGATGCTTGTTGCTTTGGAGGCTTAAGCTAAGTAAATAATGAAAAGTCACAGATTCTATTTGGGAAAATGATCTGACCTAAACAGATAAACTTATTTTTTAAAGGAAGATCACACAACCATAAATACATGCATTCATATAAAATATTATAAAATATCTCATGTTCCTGCCAGTGCCACAGTTGAAAGTCACTACAAACTGCTTGCAAGTGACCCTTTAAAATTTAAAACAAAAGCCTTCCAAATATAAACACAGCATGTAGAATATGCTGCCCTACAGGACAAAGTCTCACACAAATTCTCCCCTCCCCACTAATAAACTGCTTTCAGAGGCAACATCAACAGCACAAGGCACGGAGAGACAGATGCAGGATCGTAGAGAAGGGGAAAAGAAATGTATCAGTAGGACAAAGAAAAGCAGCAAACTGAGTTCATAAATTTGGAAAGGCCTGGAGTTGTAAACCTCCTCCACCTGGAGAAGGCATCTGAGCTGCTGTGAGCAGCTTTAAGTTAACATTTAATCAGCATTAAATTAAGTGAGATTCTCTCGTTCCCAATCTTCCAGCTCTGAACTACTCAGTATATGCTGCTCTAAACAAGCTGGTCCCCTGCAGGCTGACAGCACCTCTATCTCAGGCCTAAACTCAGGATCCTTTTCCTTCAGACACTGTGTCCCCATCACATGCTATTTTCTGCAACAGCACTTGGGCCCTGACAGCGTGATGGGGGCTGCTGCAGGACTGATGAGTGGAGAGGCTGAGACAGTCCAATAGCGATGGGGGAGGCAGAGGAGTGAGCTGCAGGCAGGAAAATCACCTGTGGAGCACTGAACCAGACAGGTTAAAAAGCCAGTGCTGTTGCAGGGATCTGGCTGTTATTGGGCTGATCAGGTATAAGAATGAAGAAACCTCTTTTGCCAACTGCTTCTACCCTCCAGGACCCCTAGTGCCTTATATCAAAGTGCATGCCTGCTTCAGTAACCTGCTGAGGCAGACACTGTGAGGCTAACAGTACCCTCAAGGGGCTGGGAAAGAGAGGAGTGGGTAGCCACATTAATTACCCTTAGGACTTGGGGTGCTCTCAGCTGCCTGCTGTGCTAAGAAGAAGGTTTCCCATCAAAGCCTATCCCTAGACTCTCCTCCTGCCCCCGCAAATCCCTGCCACACACAAAAATCCCTTCATACAGACTGCGAGGAGAGGAAGGCCAGGCCAGGACCCTGTTTCCTTGCTTGGTCCCCCTCACAAGCACGAAGCTGCCAAAGGAGAAACAAGGAGAGATGACAACTACCTCCACGGCTCTCGCTGTCTGCAGGTTTCACTTGAATCGGGCGCGCCATCTGCAATAAAAGAGAAATGCAGTGGGTTAGAGCTTGGCCCATCTGCCTGGCACACAGTGCTGATGGCAGTGGCACCAGGGTGACCCTTTCTGCCTACTGTGCAGAATAGGAGAGCAACAGAAGGGAACCGAGACTTCATGATGGCAACCAAAACCCTTGGAGAAGGGACCACATGAATTTCAGACTTCTCAAAAGGAAACCTGGCCCTTTTCCCTGCTCAGCTGCTTGCCTGCAGGGAATAGCTCTCCTGGAAATACCCACCATGCATAAACCTCTGCCTCCTCAGACACAGCAATTGGCAAAGAAAGGTCTCCAAGCAAGCAGCTCATCACCATAAGACTGCAGCCTGAACAGTGGTCAGGGTGGCCTAAGGTGAGACTATGCCTGGAAGCACCTCCTATGCCCACCTTGACTCAGCGCAGGCATGGTCACCTCACCTAACTGAGCCACTTACTTTCCTCTCAGGAGGGAGGAAAGACTGCCTCTGATCTTGGATAGAAGCAGTACAGCAAGTAGGCATGTTATGTTTCCCCCTCCCCAGCCCTCATGCAGTCAGAGCTCTGTGCACCAGAGTGGCTCTGAAGAAGGGCAGTGCTGCTCTCCAGCAACGCCTCCCATGAACAAGGACAATTCTCAGGTTGAAAGTGGCAAAACTCCTCTTGCTTGGTTGTGGGGAAGAGCCCTTTACCTCCCTCGAACCCATGAGTGCCATCAGCAACAATCCAACCACAAGCAACAAGCCTGAGGGGTCGCTTAGCTCATGTGATATGCGGACCCTCCAGGTAAGACAGAAGAACACTTCTACGCAGGAGTAGCTGCACTAAGTAACCCAGAGCTTTAACTGTCAGATTTGCAAAGCAGAGCAAAACCCTCGTCTGCTGGAAGGTATGTATGTCCTATGCTGCCTGGAAAGGCAACAGACAAGCTGTAGCCTCCTTTCCAGGCTAGCACAATCCAAATGAGCTAGATTCTCCTCTGAGGAATGGTATACAAGACAGATTTCCACATTCACAACACATCTCACTCCATGTCTCTCAGCATCATTCACAGAGGCTGACAGTGACTTGAATCAGTGACATTCATAATAAAAACCAGTAAGAATATCACAGGTAAGACCCACACAGAAGTTGCAGGTGCAGGCATAGTCTGCCCCCTCTCTTAGGAAACACCCTCAGGTAAACAGCAACAACAACAAAACAGAAAATTAAATCAAGCCATAAAAGTCACCAAATGTGTTTAGAAGCCAGCATGCAAAATGTGGACTGCAGTCTCCAAGTGGTGACTGAGCCAGACTGGCCAGAAACCAGATGTAGAGCCCGCATTCACAACAGCTGTAGGAAACCTGTGAAGTAACTTTGCAGTTCATAGGACAGAGATGCCAATCAGAAGGTGACAGGCTGCCATGGCATGGCACACTGCTGCTGAAGCCTGACTGCTGGGCACAAGAGTGCACTTGCTGCAGCTGGGGGCTGTGAGCTGGCTTCCACTGACTGGTGGATGTCAGGCAGGATGAGCAGAAGCTGGGAGCAGCCCCAAGCAATCCCATCTTTGCCTCAAGGAGTGATATGGGGCTGTTTGGCAAAGCCAGAGACTAGCTGGCAGCTCCCCAAAGGAAGACGAAGCTGCTGCCATGCTACACCTCATTAGGCAGCAGTGCCAACTCCAACTCCATTTCTCAGGACTTGCTGTGTCAATTGGAGGAGAGGGAAAGGCTGAGGGTCCCTTTCCCTCTCTTGATCAGCTGCATGGATTTGCAGAGCTACTAACATCCTGCTGTGCTGCCATGTGGCCCCAGCAGGTGCAGCACTGGCACCCACCAGCCTCTGGGCTGCTGCTCCCCCATGAAGTGCCAAGGACCAGGCATCTCGTGAGCTGAATGGGATGTGGGACAGGGGCTCGGAAAGATGCAGGCAGACGTTGCTCCAGAAAGCCTCAGATTTCCTTGCTGAGAGGCAGCAGCTCCTATCACTGCTCACAGCCTCTGGCAATATGCCCTCTGCAAGCTGAGGCTGGGGGTGTTTCGGCAGCAGGCTGGGTGGGAGAGGGCAGGCAGCCCAGATGTGTGCTTGGAAGAAAGGGCTCGGTGTGGAGCCAGGAGGGGCAACTGGCCACCTCTCTCCCCACTGCTCCCACAGCACTGAGAAATAGATTTGTTTCTACCCAGGATGTAAAACCAGGATTAAGTTAAACAGATGGGGAGGGAGATGGAGGGACAGACTCAAATCTCAGTTTCTGTAAGGAGCAAGTCCATTTAGGGGAAGGGAGGGAGGAAGGGATGCCAGAGCATCACACTCCCACGTGAGCATGGACCCACCCAGGGATTCTGAAGCTGAGGGCTTGGGACAAGGAGCTGAAAAGGATGGGGGAGGCAAGGGAGGGGGCTAAGTACCTGGGGACATCTCCCTATCCCCTCCCCCAACAGGGCTGTCACTCCAGCTCTCAGAACCTAGGGTAAAGGAGGTGTTGTCATGGAAACTGTTATTCACCACATGGAACCTGACATTTGTGGTTGCCATGGAAACCAGCTCTTGGGGGCATTCCCTCTGCTTTGCACAAAAGAGACATTTTGATATCATCTCTGGGGAGGAGGCCCCCCTCTGCCCATCTGTCCATCCCTTTCCTTCCCCTCATCCCATGGACTTCTAAGCAGCCAAGAGTGTACTGCAAGGCCTGCCCCTGGGACAGTGAGCCGTGGCTGGCCCTACTAAACCTGCCTGCCATGGGGAAGTGCACCTCACAGGGTCACATACCCACAGTGGGGTGACATGACCACAGCAGGGCCATGGCACAATGCCTGCAAGACAGCACTGGCCACAGAGGTGCCAGCACTGACGCCAGCACAATGATGTGGGTTAGCAATGGTGCAAGTCTGGAAGCAGCATCTGGCTGCAACCACAAGAGGAAGCAGGGCTGCCTAGGATTAGATCAAACATGTGGGCTGCTCTGCACTCCACAGCTGTGGTGGCAGCTTCTCTCTTGCCTACTTGATACAGCACTCTGGCAGGGCACAGGGAGACTCACCCTCTGCCAATGTCAAACCAAACCCTCAGCCAAGGGCTGCCCATTTCCAGAGACCTTTCCAGCTCCAGTGACTTTTGAGAGTCAACCACTAATCTGAGGTCTGGTCTCTGGGTAGGTCTTCATCTGCTGTGGAAGATGTGGGTAAAGAAAAGAAAACAAGATACAATAAATTTGTCCAGATGCTGAGGCTTGGGAGAAAAGCAGCAGGATTCTCTGCCTGCTGCTTCCTGAAATGGGAGGTCGTCTAACTGAGGCAGAGGCAGGCATGGTCCTCCTTGCAGAGAACTGGACACCCAGAGGCTTCCACAACAGGACAACACCACTCTACACCTTCTAAGTACCATGTTGCCATGAAAGGTGAATAAAATAACAAAATCCTCTCAAGCAGAGGAGTGAGCCTACAAATGCAAAGAGAGTCCACAGCTACTTTAACTCAACAACATAGGTCGCAAGGCCTTAAGAAGTGTCTCTGTGGGGTCCTTAACTTTGTGTACAGGTCTCAGACAAATTGCTCTGTCCCCTACACAAACCCAATGCACAGAAAGGATGGTCAAGCTTTACCCCTTCCATTTGAGGGAGAGAGTAACAGGACAGCAGGGCATGCTTCTGGCTTGAACAGCAAACTCTGGAAGTACAAATTCTTCTGGCCTCCAGTCATCATCGCAGGCTGCACAGTTATCAGAGAACACACCTGACTAAGCAAGCCATATTTGTACATGCCCAGCTGGGCCCAGAATCCAACAGTCAGGATGTGCCTGCCTTAAATTCCAAGTGACAAGTAAATGCACGTGCACAGAAGATGAACATGCACACAAGAACACAAACATATGTGAACACACATGCAGCATGGAGAACTTCAGCAAACAATTTATGAGTCTGTGCCTGCCTCACTAGCTGAGCGTTATTTTCCTCATTAAATTACTCAGCTCAGTGTTATTATTCTCCATTTCTGAAGAATATCACATTAACATTTAGCATATGCTGTCAGGCTACTACAGGCCAAATGTTCCCCACCCCTGCACTTCGCAGTCCTCCTTACCTGTTGCTAATGACAGACTAAGAGCTGTCAGCTCCATGACCCACTGCACTCAAGAAACCTTCTGAAGCCATATCTACCCTCCTGTCTGGATGCACACCTTCCCTTTCCAAACACAGCCATGCTTACCCTCCACAGCTCTCACAGATGTTTCTCTCTGCATCACTCTCCTCCTCACAAGCACACAGCCCTTGTTAGCTTGCTTTCTTTGAGGTTACTGGTGGGAAGCAACTGGCCAGCCTGATGGGGGCACGAAGCTATACTGACCACTAGAGTCTTACATGCTACAAAGCACAGCAGTCACATTTCTGGCATAGCTCTCAGGGAGCAATGGGGAGACAGCTGGAGGTAAGAGTCACTGCAACCCAGAGGAGCCCTGAGGTTTCTAGAGAAGGCAGAGGTGAGAAGCCTTGCTGGCAAGTGTCTATTACATCCCACACCATCCACAGCATCTGGTCAGCACAGGGAACTGTACTTTTCTTGAGCCTCCTCCCTGATTTCAAGGAAATGCTCCCCCACCCTTGTAGCAATCTTGAAATCAAGGATATAAGCAAAATTCCTGGCCCTGATAAAGTCAGAGGAAGCTTTGCTGTTGGTTTCACCAAGGCCAAAATGTACCATTTTTCTCACCACACCCCAAAACAACCCTTCTGGAGGTGAACTAGCTCCCCACATTTACATCAAAGACCAGCATAAGCTGTCATTTCAGCAATCCAGTAGCCATGTTTTCCAAGGAAGAGCAGTGACCCCCTAGCTCTTGCTTCCTCAGCTTTCAAACTGCAAAAGCTGGATGGAGGGAGAATTCCCCCTGAGACAGCAGGGCAAGCCTCTCTATTAATTAGGAGTAAGTGATGTAAAATAGCCCCTCAGGTGCAAAGCAGGGGAACCTCATAGTGTTAAGAGGGTGAGAGGCAGAGAGCATGAAACAACCCAGACTGTCTCC